TTAACTCTTAATGCTATCATAATACATAACAAAAAAGACAATTAACTAATTTACAAAGCAAGGGCGGCCTTATCGCTACAAGCGATCTCTTCCAGGCAACCCAGTGGGACAGGAAAGAATAACATAGAAAGAGGGATATAATCTATAAATTTCTTTAAATTTAAATAGTTACTTAACTATAATTTACTGGGAATAAATAATTATATAAGCATAAAAACTCTTTTACTTTTTTTTAAATTATTATAGCGGCTGTCAGGCGCGAGTCCGTTCGCACGGGCTTAAAAAAAACTTAATAAATAGCCTATGTGTTCTTCCACACTATGTTCTATATGTATGCCAAATTTCAGCGAGATTCATGAAGCCGTTCTGGATATACCTTCAAACATCCATCCATCCATCTAAACATTCGCATTTATAATATTAGTAACATGTTTCCTTTACGTAGACTAAATTCAAGAAATCAAGTCTGTCTGAATGTCTTTACCCGTCTACTAGATGGCGACACAATCAAGTTTCACAAAGATAGTTTGAACCAATCCATAAATACAACCTTTTTTCATTTCCATTTACGTAGTCAGAACGGTGGCTCAATTAATTCTTTATTACTGTGTGGTACGGTATTAAAATAGTGTTACATTTTCGTCCCTAGTTAGGACAAGATTGAATTGTAAATATTTAATAGAGTTACGACATGTACGATAATTTTTCTACCATATCTAAAGTTTTGCGTGTAATTTTTTTTTTTTTAAATATTAGCAGATTTTTTTTGTAAATTTACTAATATTTCTTTTACCATTCCAACTAAGCTCTATGCTTGTGCTAGGATATGGTTTACGACAATAGTCAAATGGCGGGATTCGAACCCCCGACCTCGTGATCGGAAATCCGTATCCTTAACCATTAGGCTATTGACGCTTAAACCAAATAAAAAAAGGTTATTTAACTTCGAATATCCAAAATTTTAATTAGATGAGTAAACACAATTAACAATTTCGATGCCAGTATGATTTTCCAATGCTAACTGCTTGGTAATAATATTTTTATCTAATGGCTTTAAAATTAAATTTAAAAATGAAAAAGATTTTTCATCACTTTTAGATATATAAATTTTAATGCAGGTTTGAAATATTCATATCGTTTTTAGTAGAATTGTTTGATGTTGGAATAAACTTGTAATTTGATTTTGAAAATCATCATCATCAGCTCACTATACGTCCCTACCGAGGGACTACTACACTAATTTAGGGGTGACTAGGCCATAGTCAACCACGCTGGCTAAGTGCGGGTTGGTTGACTTCACACATATCTTTGAATTTCCTCTCAGATATGTGCAGGTTGCATCACGATGTTTTCCTTCACCGTAAGAACGTCGGATAAATTTACATATGTAAATCGGAAATCGAAAGACACATTGGTACAAAGCGGAATTCGAACCCAGGACCTGCAGATTGCAAGTCAAATGCTTGACCCCTGAGCCACCGACGTTCTTTTGAAATATTTTAAGTAAAAACTTCAGTATTAAATTAAATAGAAATGTTCGTATGAAATTGCACTAGGAAAGTACATGTACTGATTTATCCTATATGTTCTTGTACATTCTCGAATTAATAAATTATAGGGCTGGCCATTAACTATAAACAAATGACATGCGAATAAGAAGTAAATTAATGTGTTAGAGTACAACATTTTATACGTAATGGTGACGATGTTATAGGTAGGACTTTTTCTAACCGATGGTTTCCACTGATGAAACATTACATCGAAACGTACTATGATTCGACTTATTATCTAGAAAAAAATAGAGAAAACAATTATATTGAACGTTTATTTTGGTAGTGGAAACTCACTATTTTTTCTCCCTTCACGCTAATATAATAAAATGAGGGTAAAGATAAAATTATCTATTGATGCAATACTTGGTTAAATAATTATTTTATAAGTTGACAACCCTAGCACTAATTATCTCTAGCGGAAACGAGATCAGATCAAGAATTAGCCAATTGAGCCGGCGAGGAGTTGCCACATCTGTCAAAATGATGTCGCCACACGCAGCAAATCCAAGCTTGCGCCTTGGAAATCCAAACCACACCTAGTTCTATAGAAAAATATAAAATTTATTACACTTTTCTCATTATATTTATTGTTAATAATCGCCATTTACAATACTTTTTGAAACTTTTAACATCATATTGCAAGTACTTAAGTAATTATTTTACGATAACGATGACGAACAGACAGACAAAAATTTTAAAAATCCCGCCATGGTTGCGATATATGAATTGTATGTTAAGACAGACACTCCAATTTTTTTTATTTTTATATATATTTAGAAGGCGCATTTCCACTACGCGTCTTGTGATTTGGTCCACATTTAAACGCATCTCACACCGAGGAAGCCTGCCTTTATAAGCCTAGCTATTTAAATTAGTGTAGTTCTAAAGGTAATTGTTTTTCTTTTTTTATATTTGTATTCTTCAATGGCACATTAACTTGCATACTTTCTAATAAAAATACGAGTCAGTTTTAGGATCTTTAAAAAAATTTACGTAAATGCTATTAAACTTTCTTAGAAATAATTTAAATAGGTAATTAATTTATTCAAAGAATTAGTTTAGCTGTACAGAGGGGGAACGCTGCCAGTATATTCGGGACCTTGCCTAAAGGGACTCCTTTTAATAACATATTTTAGTGAATTATACGTTTTTTTTTAATATTTTATTTTATATCATAGATTTAAGACTATATGTAAACTAGCGGACCCGACAGACGTTGTCTGACAATTTGACACTGCGATGGTAGCGCCGTCTGTCGGATCCAATGTAAAACATTCCAAAATTAACAACTACTAATAAATTAAAAATTAAATAAAAAAACTTTGTCCAGCGGACAAAATTGTGAATCTAAACCATTCCCAGATCCCCTTGAACACACACAAAAAATTTCATCAAAATCGGTACAGTCGTTTGAGAGAAGTTCAGTGACATACACACTCACAGAAGAATTATATATATAAAGATAGAAATAAGGATATACAATAAATTAAAAGTTTTATATAATATTTAAATAGGTTCAATATTGTTATTTTTATTATATTTGATAGTATATAGAAATCTCTTGTTACATTACATAAGACAATTTAAAAAATAAAATAATATTATACATTTATTATAACATACGTTAGAAATAATTCCTATATAATTACAGTTTGACCGCGTTCTGTACATACGCCATTGACGAAATTTTATTCAATAATTATACACAAAAATCTAGACCATTTATACATAACCTCGATTGAAAATGTTAATAATTTCTTATGTGAAACTGTTAGTTACATATTGCCATCCCTTTCATTCTGTTTGAAAAACACCGAATAAACGATATTTTTTGTAATATTTTCCTCGTTCCTTCGGTAATGGGAAACTAATTTTTACTTCTTACTGATCTTACTAATATTATAAATGCAATTGTTGAGCCTGGCCATCCAACGGGGAAATACCGCCAGCCTCTTGGGAACCCTACCGTGCGACCGCAGCGATTTGGGGTCGATTTTTTATTAGTTTTATTTTTAATTTGGTTTAGTTTTAGTATATAGTTTATTTAATATAGTATTAATTGTTTATAAAATTTATTGTTTAGATGGATGGATAGATGTATGGTTGAATGTTTGAAGGTATCTCCGGAACGGCTGAACGGATCTTGATGAAATTTTGCACAGATATAGAGAAGAAAATATGTAAATTGTAAATTCATCTTCTATTATTTTTGTTTATTATCGTGCGGATGAATTCGACGCCTACATTTGATAGTATTGGAGATTTTTTTTAATTCAGCGCGGACAGAGTCGAGGTAGAATTAATCTATGTGCGATGCACATTTTTTCACATATGACGAATTACTATCATTTTCTCAAGTTCATTTTGTCAAAGAAAGCTACCTGCAGTTGCATATAGCCTATTAGCTGTCGCCCGTCGTTCCGTCGGTTCAGAATTAAAAAAAAATATTAGATGATTTGAGATTGCCAAATTTCTATGGTCTGACGTACTCTAACTCCCCTCCCCCAAAGGAAGGGCTCAGTAGAAATCTCGCCCAGGATGCTGGTACAGCTAAAACCATTACGGGGAAAGACCTTAAGATTTTCTAAGGCTGTAATAAGACCGGATGTGGATGTCTTGATTGGTATCACTGGTATCTTTATGGTCTTTGTTGGTCACTTACCATAAGAATCGGACGACCCCAAGCCATACTAGTAAATTTGCCTTCTTATTATACAAAAATGGTAATAACTTGGATTAGAGTATCTGATCTAATTATTTTTTTATATTTAAGAAAATTTATAAAGTTATTTCCACACTAAACACTTAATATTAATAATTATTTTCTTATATATTATATATAAAAATAAATGGCTAAATAAAAAGACAACTCCAAAAGTAAAAAAAAAATCGTATACATAAACGAACCCTTTTAATAATAACTTTGTAAAAGTAAAAAAAAAAGAGAGAATTACAATAACACGAAATTTTTTATCAATATTTTTATTCAATTCAATAAAAAAATTTAGTCAAAAAATATTTTGTTTCACACGCAATGAGTAGTGTTTAACAAGCGCTCAGTGTGTCAACGCCCTTATATATGCATTTCAAGTCACGTATGTATCGCAGGATGTGGCCCGGCCCTGCGAGTCTCGTGCTCTATTTCAAATTACCAAATTCAGTATATAAAGTGCGCGTGCGCCGATCATTGCTCACATCACATAGTTGCTGCGCTTGCAACGCTACTCTATAGACATGAAATACATCGTGAGTATTTATTATATAAAAAAGAAACAAATACAAGACTATGTTTTAATATCAAAAAATCTAAAAAAAATCAAAAAATGTCGATCATTAAAAATCTACATTTTTGCAAAAATTTATCTTATAACTATAGACAAATAAATACAGCATTAAGTTAAGAATAAGGTTGATTAAAAGTTTTACTAAAATCCACCGATCTATCTTAAGAAAAAGCCTTTAAAAACTCTTAAAAACAGCAATTACTTTCATCAACATTCAAGGTCGTCTAGATTTTTATATCAAAGTACGAAATAGTTATTGCAAAGCTGATGCAGATAGACACTTTTTATAACTAATAATATTTGTGTCAATTTCAGGTATTCTTCGCCCTTGTGTCCGTGGCTTTGGCCAAGCCCAAGCCCGGAGGTCTCTTCTCATCATTTGACCATGGCGTAAGTATACCAACCTTTACTTTTATTCTCTCAAAACAAAACAATATTAAAAAACATCTTACCTTCTTAGTGAAATGTAATTCAAATATCATTGCTCGAATTTCACAAGTACGTAGTTCATACGGTGGCCCCAACTGTGGTCATGCGGCCCCAAATGAATTTAACAAATTACCATTTCTTCCAGTTCTCATCGCTAGACCTCCACCAGCCAGCTATCACATTAGCGCAGCCCACATACACAGTAGCCCAGCCCGTAGTCCACGCGGCACCTGTGGTCCACGCGGCACCAGTAGTCCACGCGGCCCCAGTAGTCCACGCGGCACCAGTCGCTATTGCCAAGCCCGCTACTAGCTACTCTTCCTTCCAGCAGGTAAAGACAAAAATAAATGGCTCCATTATAAAACATTCTTTTACTTAAATGAAACCTTCTGGAAATATGTTTAATCAATATAGTTTATCAAAGAAAATGATACCACAAGATAAGAAATGAGTAGCTACAGTTCAACAAGGATCTTCTAACCTTTTTTGACATGTCAGAAGGACCCTTTATTTTTCTTTTGTTATACGTAGCATTCGATTGCAGGTCGTACATCCAGTACAAGTAGCGCATGCTGCCCCAGCAGTTGTCCACGCTGCACCAGTTATTTCCCAACCCATTGTCCATGCGGCCCCAGTTGTCCAGACCATAGCCCAGCCTGTGGTCCAGAAATACCTCTCACTCGGATCATACGGCGGTTCCTACGGCGGATACGGTCATGGTTGGTAAATGGACGCGTGGTTGTAAATAATTTTTAATTACAAGTTTTTTTTTTATTATTTTAAGCGTTGAGATCATGTCCGTACTAAGGGCGTGGTGCAAATAAAGTATTTTATTAATCAATTTTGTTTTTTTATAATTCCCATACAGTTAATTTAAATTCGTATAACAAAGTGTTGTCGTCTCGCTCATTCTCTTTAAAAAAAAGAGATGACTAATATATTTACTGATAGGCATTTCGGCAGTGGGGACCCACACTTAAAATGAAAAGGAAAATTTTATAAGTACCTATTAAAAATACCTAATTATATTTCAAAACTATTGGGCGATTAAAGAAAAATATCAGGCGTTTTACTATTTTTTATAAATAATCCTAAAGCAAATAATTCTGATGTAAACTTTGCTGTAATTTTTTAATTGCAACAGTTATATATAAGGAATAAAAGTCAATTTTATTTAAATGATCTTTAATATTGATTTTACTACTTTTATTAATATTCACTATTTAATATTTACTTACAAACAGAATCGATTTATATAGTGATGTACCCATATACTCGTACATATCGATAAGATAGATTATCGAAAACGTCTTTCTCTCTCTTTTTTATCTGTATTTAAACGTATTAAAAGCAAACCTAATGTAAACGGTAACCAGAAATTATGGAGTTCTACTTAGCGCGGGACTGGTACACCTCTATCGCGTACACATCTATCCGAGGATGTTTGCTGGTCGGATAATGGAACATTTGGATGGATTTATGTTTATTAGCAGGCATATCCAAAACGGCTACATGGATTTTGCTGAAATTTGGCATAGATGTAGAACATAAGCCGAGTTTTTTTTTCTGCGCTGACGGAGGCGACAGCTAGTACGTGATGACTCTGTTAAATCGATATACCAGTGTCACATCACTAGCGATCGCGTGTCGGCGGGGACGTTCGTAGGCACTGTCCTACAAATCGTATCTAAGTTATTGTGGCCACCAATTTCATTGCATTCAACATAAGTATTTAAATACATAGTAAACATGAAAAAGAAGAAAGAAATAGAGAAAGGAAAAAAAACAGAAAAAGGAGAGTAAATTCTCGAAAAATTACAGAAATTTGAGAATTTGACAGTGAGTTTCGTTTCGTTTTAATATTCTCAATTATTTCTCGTTAGAAAACATTTCACCAAAAATAAGGTCAAATTAATAGAATTTCCTATAACATTGCGTAGTCAAGGTGTTTACTACAAGACCTTGAACTATAAAACTTAACACTGCTTATCGGTACAGCTTTATAACTTAAATTGTAGATAAAAATAAAGCCTTTAATAAATCAGTGAATCAAGATACATCCTGTATATAAAAATATAACTATAGGTTGTTCTCATTCAGTAAAACTTTCCCCCATTTCTAATAATTGTTGTTAGTATATTGAAATTTTATCTTTCTCATCCATCCATCCAAACATCCGATCATTCACAGTTATAATATTAGTAAGATTTACGACAAAATTATTATTTACAAATGAAGTGTTTTTTATGTAACATAATGGTTCTTAATCATTTAATTCTTGACAAGAACAAACCAATACGTTTAATTTAAAGAGACTTGTCCGATATTTAATAATTTCATGGCCACAATATTGTTAACATTTCAGGCTTGCGGGCGCAGGCTTTCAGTGTCTCGGATGCCATGCGGGCGAACGCTCATTTCGGGTGTTACCACTACAAAAAAAATATCACGATGTTAAAAAATAAATACGGGTAATTCCATCATACTGCGTAAAACTCAAAATAAATATATAAATTATTAAGCTATAACGTAACATATTTTAAATATCGCTTAGAATATAGATTTTATATTATCAAGTTAAAGTTTAAGTTACAATGAATGCTTGGGGAAATGAAGGCGATGATGCCATGGGTCCAAGTGTATCGCGTAAGTTGTAGTATCATTTTTTTGTTTTTAAATTTAACTGGGTCAACGTGGGTCCCATATTAAAACACTACAAAAATATAGTTACCTCTGTTTTCCCCTAAAGAATGAGAGGGATAGCATAGCATTTTGTTTATAAACAAATATTTCAACTGAAACCAACTTTATAACCGATGTTTATTTTCTATGTATTGACTACATACAACTGTTCTCATTTTAGGATACGGCCATAAATTTATTAAAATTTAACAGCAATATGAAACAAAAATGCATCTTAAATCATTCTCTTTACTTTGGTTAAATAGGAAAAAGAAGAGTTTGTAAGGTCTAAAAATCTAAGAAAGAAAAATATTGTAACCTTTGCCTTCCCACCTTTTTCTCGTTAGGAAAGGGGAAGTTTAATTGACGGAGGACGCGTAAATAGGGGAAATATCCCTTTTCTTTCTATGACGTCTATGGGTAGACTTCGCTATTTCGGAGAACTCAAGTGCTTGCTTGTTTGCCGCCTTATAATATATAATAAAAAATAAAAGCTTGTTGGAAATAAAAACTGTAATTGATAAATTACATGCTATAACCTTAAAAGTTGACTACAAAATATCATTGAATTTCATGACTCAACTTACAGTATCTTTTATAAAAGTTCATTGACATTTCAACGGCAGCAGGCCACCAAGGTAATCGAGGCAAGATAACAATCGTCTGAAAACATATTATACACTAGTATAGACCAATTTATATTATACTAGTCGTCGCCCGCGGATTCATCCACGAGGAATTAAAAAGGATTAGTAGTCATGTGTTCTTCTGGGTTATATTTGTCTCTCTACAAGTCCACGTTTCTTCCGGGTAATGTACTTTTTTAATTCCGCGCTGACAAAGTCGCAGACGACAGCTAATATTTGACTCCGTCACTTAATGCTTTTCTCAAAAACATCTCAGTTATATTTTTTTTTGATATGTTACTTATCACATTTGAACTTAATCTAATATTATTTGTAAATTACTCGAGTGAAGTTAAAAGGTGTCTTAGCTCGTTATAAATGCGTTAGCTATTCAATTTGCATTACACCGCATTGCGTAGTTTCAATAACACGCTCGTAACGCAGTGGGGTAGACAGAGATTTTGGAGAAAACAACAAACAAAAAATTTTTTATTTTTTTTCAAAGATTATTGGAGGATTTACGATATATGTATTTTGGAAATGGCAGTCAATTACATGTAATTTCTTTTTACTACCTTTTAATCACGCATGGCATATTTGGTAAAACTACTTTTTCAGGACCACCCAGTGTAGCAACTATAACACGACATCCACCTCTCAAAAATGGCGGTGAACTGAGAGAAACAGGGTATTTGATTGGTATAGGTTCCAGAACGGCAAGGTAATTAAAAATATGAAATTACAAATAGATTTACGTTGAAAAAGTGTTCAAAATTTACGTAGAGTTTATATAAGTTTAGAGTTATTATAAAATAACGTTTTTGATATGATTTTATAACACTGCCATAAACAATCTCCTCTTCCAGGTTTCGTAGAAAACATAGAAATAAGTTATATTGGATGATACTACTTATTTTATTATTTATCATCATATTTATGGGAATTATGCTGACAATAGGTACGTAATTTCACAGAAACTGGTTTACTATTAAAAACCTACCGTATCCAGAAATCTTTGTAAATATTTTTCTATGCAATTTCTTTCGTTTTCTTTTTAGTTTATAAATACATATTTAAACCTCCTCCTAATATCTGCATGACGAAGGAATGCTTGCGCTCAGCTGCAAACCTAGCGCTCTCAATTGACAAGACTGCACATCCTTGTGATGATTTCTACCAGGTAAGCAGAAGACAGGTAATATGATATTGGGACCTTCAAAAGTAGAGTGAAGGCACTTACTAAGCTAGCGCGTACCATCTTTCGACCAAATCTCCACTTCACCAGGTGGGATCGTGGTCAAGCGCTAGCTTATAAAACGTAAAAAAAGACAAAGGCAATCTTTACAGTTACAAAAGAATTTATGATACCAATTTTAAGGAAAACTAATTATGAATGAATGCATCAAACAAATGGGTTTTAATTATGATAGTGATATTGGTGATGAAAAAAAAAATAGCATTAAAAAAGCGACAAAAAGAGTGTATGATCTGAAGAACCAAAAGAAAGTTTTGTAGAACCAATATGTTGTTTTACAAAACTTTCTTTTGTTTTATGATTTTTTTTTAGTACATGTGTGGTAACTGGCCGAAAAATCATCCAAGACCTGACGAATACATATCGTTCGATTGGTTCTCCGATCAGGAGACGAGAGTGTACGCGGCAGTCAGGGACTTCCTTGAGGCGGATGATCCTAATTTATATAAGAAACCCAAACCCGTGCAACAAACAAAGATAATGTACGAGGCTTGCATGGATGTCAGTAAGTTGATAAATACAAATAAGGTTTAGCAAAAACTAAAAAGAACAACATGACTAACTGTTGTTAGAAAGAAAATCCGACATAATATCGGTGTATCGATGGAAACACTAACCTTATTAAAATGTCAACATTTATGTGCCCGCAACAAAAATTCTGACACTTGATTGGGTAACGAAAGCGCTTCATTTGGCGCCAAAGGATTCTAACTAATAATGTCTAAAACTGTGGAGCCAAAGAACAGATTTGGCGTAGTCCTGACACACCTATCACGTCGTGACGACCGGATATATCTACGCATATGCTTTTGGGTATCTGGTCTTCTTTACGAGTATACCAACTTTTCTAAGTAGACCAATTTGTTCAGTATAAGTGCGTCTAGGAAATATAAATAAGTAGACAGATTTGGTGTAGAAGATGTGATAAAAAATGATTAAATATGTTGTTTGCTTGCAGAAACATTGGAAGAGCGTGGATTAGAACCTGTGATGAAAATGTTAGACGAAATAGGACTTCCACATTTCCCTACAATTATTAATGCCACAGGTTTGATTTAATTAATTATTAATTACATTAAATATAAGCCTAGATTCTAAATAGACATTAGTTTTTTTATATCATAAGGAGGCAAACAAGCGAGCGGCCACCTGAAATCGCTGAAATAGCGAAGTGACCGTTGCCTATAGACATATGCAATTGCATATGCGTTGCCTAATGTACAATAGTAAAAGTAATCACAATTAAAACGTGGTTTATTATTTTTAAATAAGTTTATATTTCGCCAGCCGAGGATCTCAACAACTACACGTTTGACTGGGTGGACGCCGTAATCAAAATTAAAAAGAAACTTGGAATGGACGTTCTTGTTGGTTTTGATATTTTTTTCGATTCAAACAACTTTACTAATGATAAAATATTGATCGGTGCGCCTGAAGTCACGCATCCTTTTCCAAGGTAAATGCAATCAAAATTACGTCAAGATCTTACTAAATAACCAGACAATGCTTAGATTTTGTTCACATTTTCTGCTTGCTTTAGACATAAAATATCACAGGTCTTTCAAGATATGTAGTTTATGTTGTCTTTTATTGATAAACTAGCAGTTACCTGCGACTCCGTCCGCGTGTAAATAAAAAACATAATTAGCTTATGTGTTCTTCCAGACTATATTCTATATGTTAGGCAAATGTCAGCTAGATCCGTTCACCCGAATACGGCTGAACGGATCCAATAGGAGATACTTTCAAACAAACATCCATCTATCCATCTAAACATTCGCATTTATAATATTAGTAATAAGTTAGATTGGCAAGGCTTATAATGTAGTTCAGTTGAATAATAATTAAGCATTTATTTATTAATTTTACGTTTTTTTAATATTTTCAGTATGTACGGAAACGTGATATTTAAAAGAAATAAGAAACGAAGATATTCAGATATTTTAAAATCGATAGCACCGTTGCAAACCCCAAACATTGAACGTCAAGTACCAACCAAAAAAGAGGATGAAGAAGAAAAAGAGAAAACTGAAAAATTTTACGTGGAACTGATGAAATATTTTATTGAAGAGGAATCAAAAGTTAGGAATTTTAGTAAATTATTAAACGACCGTTTTCTAGAAGTAGCAAATATTTATAATGATTTAAATGAAGATATGAACGATGTAAGTAATCTTTTATTTCTATCGAACTAAGGACTTAAAACTATTTAACCCAATCCCAATGAAAATGAACTCAGTCAATAAAGTTAGTGATATTTGTGGGCATCCTGACCACCACTCCCTAAACTGAGGGTTCGAAATGTAGTGACACATATTATTGTCTCTACCATCTCAAAGCGAATGAGAGGGATGACAACATTTGTCAATACAATTACATTTTGTAAGCACAATATTTTTTTTTAAATATTAGCAGATTTTTTTGTAAATTTACTAATATTTCTTTAACCATTCCAACTCTCTCTATGCTTGTGCTAGAATATGGTTTACGATAATAGTCGAATGGCGGGATTCGAACCCCCGACCTCGTGGTCGGAAATCCGTACCCTTAACCATTAGGCTATTGACGCTTGTAATATAGCATACTAGCTGTCGCCCGCAACTCCGTCCGCGCCAAATAAAAAAAAATAAGTAGCCTATGTTCTTCCATACTATACTTCTACATTTAAGCTAAACTTCTGCGAGATCCGTTGAGCCTGGGGATACCTTCTCACAATCATTCTTCCATCCATCCAAACATTCGCATTTATAATATAAGTAAGATTATTCTTTAATTTAGATGATGTCGTACAATGAAACTGACGAAACAGAGCCTTACGAGACAGAAGATTACACAGTGGATCAAATCCAGAATATCACAGACTTAATTGTAGCACAAACCAATGGTACTACAATACCAATATGGAAAAGATATTTTGAAGGTATTTTCACTGTAAAAGATGAAAAATTAGATTTTGCAAAGGAAAAAATTTCAATAAATCAACTTGATTTAGAATATTTATGCTTGATGGCGGCTTACGTGTCCAAAACACCGCCAATACAATTAGAGCTCTACATTTGGATGAAGGTCAGTAACTTCTTAAAGGTCCAAAATTATTCAATTTACTCTTACATTTTTTCTCTGCCGTATATTTTGTATACTTATTAATATTTTTAATCAGGTTATAGAAGTGTTAACAGCAGATACTACACAGACTTTGTACCAGTTGTTCTTAAAGATTTACCCAACCGATATTGTAGCGGCCCGAAGTCTGCGATGTGCTAATGCTGTTAATGACATGCTAGGGATGGCTGTCGCATATGCTATTGCCGAACCAGACTTCATTAGTGTTGTCAAACCTAAGGTATTATAGTAATTTAGCAATTATTTGATAGCCTTAAAAAACAATATGATTATCAGCTCACTATACGTCCCTACCGAGGGGCTCGGAGCCTATCCTAAGTAAGAGGTGACTAGGCCATAGTCAACCACGCTACCCAAGTGCGGATTGACTTCACACATATCTTTGAATTTTTCTCAGATATGTGCTGATTGCATCATGTTTTCCTTCACCGTAAAAACGTCGGTTAAATGTACATATGTAAATCGGAAATCGAAAAACACATTGGTACATGGCGGGATTCGAACCCAGGACCTAGAGATTGCAATTCAATATATTACTATTTAAAATGAGCAGTTTTACTTATTATAAATTAAACTAAGTTAACACGAATCATTGTCTAAAAAAATCAGATTTTTTCCTAGTATTAACGTCATGAGTGTCTTAACACAGTTCGCTTTGTTACTAAATAAAATTAAATGTTAATTTCCAGATACAAGTAATGCTAAAAAATCTGAAAGGCGCTTTAGCTCAATTAATAGGCAAAACAAAATGGATGGATGACAACACTAAGTTAAAATCTTACAGAAAAATAATAGAAATGAAAACTCTAATAGGTTTCCCTGACTGGTTACTTGAAGAAGGACAACTTGAGTCTTATTACAAGGGAATAGAGGTTAATAAAAAGACTCATTTAGAAAATATGATTAGTATAGCTCAAATGGAAATTAAAGCTAAGATGGATGACTATAGACAAACTAGACCAAATATATGGTACATTGATCCTACCGTGGTTAACGCTTATCATGTCTTCGCAACGAATACAATAAGTAAGTAAAGTTAACATAAGTAAAATATTCATTATAAGCTAATGCAATTATTTACTCAACAAAATGAATTTAATCATCATCATCAGCTCACTATACGTCCCCACTGAGGGACTCGGAGCCTACCCTAAGTTAAGGGTGATTAGGTCATAGTCAACCACGCTGGCTCAGTGCGGGTTGGTTGACTTCACATATATCTTTGAATTTCTTCTCAGATACGTGCAGGTTACATCACGATGTTTTCCTTCACCGTAAGAACATCGGATAAATGTACATATGTAAATCGAAAAACACATTGCTAATGAATCGAATACTATTAGGTATTTTATTTAGTGACTTATGAAGTGGGAATAAATTTTTATAACCATATTTTCAAATATAGTTTTCCCCAAACCTGTGTTTTTTTTAAATACTGTGTTATTTAATGTACTTACTATTCAACCTATTTTTATTTCCTGGACGCAGCTGTGCCTATGGTGATATTACAATATCCATTTTATGATTTGGGTCTAGAGTAAGTAAATAATGTAAAATTAGATTGATCTTAAATTTTACAAGAAATCAGAAAGCTTTCGTTTATCTTAATTATTGTTAATTTTCTTTAAATATATGAAAATCAATGAAGTTCGCTCAATAAATGAAATTCTACAAAAGTCACGTAAACCATCATTTCATGCACAAAAAAAACATTTTTGTATCTTTAAAAGAAATGTAAACCTAATTTATAGTGTTTTTCAGTTCCTTAAACTATGGTTCGTTGGGGACAATAATTGGACATGAAATAACTCATGGCTTTGATAACTTAGGTAAGTACTTCCATCCCGTAGAGTCTCCCGTCTTTCTTTCCCTTTCTATCTCTCTCCCTCTCTCTCTCTCTCTGAGGGTAGGACCCTCTTTATCACTGCATTTCTAACAACGAGCTTATTACTCGTAGGCGACTTTCATGTTTACCATTGCTATCATACAAAGTAGTTCCAACCCAAAACTCCGTAGTATTTATTATTTATAGGACGACTTTACGATAAAGATGGCTATTCAAAGAACTGGTGGTCAAATGAAACGGTGGATTCGTATCAGAATGCAACTGAATGTTTGGTCAAACAATATTCATCATTTAACATACCTGAATTGGGGAAAAACGTAAGTTATTTTAATAAAGTTACTAGTAGAACTACGAAAAATGTATATTTTCAGTAACTAGCAGTCGCCCTCGGCTCCGTCTGCGCGGAATTTAAAACCATAACAAGTAGCCTATGTGGTCTTCCAGAATACTTTCTTCAACTATGCCAAGATTCACCAAAATCGATTGAGCCGTTCCAGGGATACTTTCAATCAAACAAACATCCATCCATCCATACATGTTAACACTCTTGAGTTATGTTTTTGTTCTAAACGACAGCTAATAACTAATCAACAGTTTCTACATCAACGTAAATACACCTTTAAGGTTCTTGGTGTCAAAAATCTTAAAGAAGCTCCCACTAAAAACTTATCTTCTTTTCAATAGATAGACGGTCACAGAACGCTGGGTGAGAACATAGCTGACAACGGTGCTATCAGACAAGCATTCACAGCTTTCGAGCGCCATCTGCGACGTACCGAACCTGAAGCGAAGCTCCCCGGCTTTGAGGAGTTTAGTCCACAGCAAATGTTCTTTATGTCTTATGGAAATGTGAGTTTAAAATTAATCTCTGATATAAATGTTTTTGTAGTAGATGTCTAATTTAACAGTTTCGATGTCCTATCTTACAGTTTTTCAAATATTTATCTCTATTCCTATTAAAAGGATCCACAGCTCTTTTTTTTTAGATTTTTTAATTCTTACTAGAGTATTACTAGGCCTTAGCTAAACACGCTGGCCTAGTGTAGATTGGTGCATAATCTTTTTTGTATGTTCCTTATATTTCAGCTATGGTGTGGTATATCAACAAACAATTCCTTGAAGGCAAGTTTAGAAGACGAGCATTCCCCGCTGAAGTTCAGGGTAAAAGGCAGTCTGCAGAACATCGAACATTTCGCTCGAACCTGGAACTGTCCTCCTGAGTCCCCTATGAATCCTACGAAGAAATGTGTCATCTTCTAAAGAACGCGCATACTGATAATGCTATGGTGAATATGCGATATAACTAAGGTAAATAAGATCAGCTGCGAGAAAATGCGAGGCAGCTTCGGTGTTCGCGACATCGACGAGACGTAGTAGGCTGCGATGGTATGGTCACCTAAGAGTCCATGCCTACGTCGCAAATTTGATACTGCAACTTTCGTATCCCGGTCTTATGACCAGACGGATTAATATACAGGGCATCCCCAAAATAGGATGAAAACATATAGTGGAAGAAGACAAAGAAATGGGTGATTGCCAAGTCTCTGATGAAGATGTCGAGGATAGTGAAGTGGATGAGACGAATGAGGAAAGCCGACCCCACCGCTATTGGCATACAAATTAGGCTGATAGAGAGTAATGGATGACAGACTGATGATGATAATAACTGTGAAAGTAACAACAAAATGACTCTAAAAGCAACGGCCATCGGACTGAAGCCGCCCCTAATTCCTCCACCTTCTAATAAAATAAAAAATGTGGATGTTTCTTTTACAAATAAGACTATCAAGATAACTTGTGAACTTTCTAAGCCAAATAATTGACCATAGTTGTTATGTTTTACAGTATTTATCAGTTTTTAACAGTATTAAAGGTTTACAAAATGTTACTATGTCCTATTATGTATATCTAGTATTCAGTTTGTAAATAATTTTAAAGGTATGTTATTTTTAATTAGAAATAGTGTATTAGAGTGTCAATTAATATATGTTTATAAAAAGATTTTTCTACAAACTTATTGTGTGTGCGTTATTTAATAATGAAGTTTAAATAAAAAGTTCTATAAAGCTGTAAGGGTTTTTTTATTAACCAAAGAATTCATTGTGGATTAAAAACATAAGGATTCCAAAAGATAATTATTTGAGTTAAAGCTGAACTGCAATTTAGTTACATTTATACTAACTATGAATTGTTTTATAATGATAAAATAAAATAATAAAATAAATATTTTGGTTCAATCATTTATTCTGAATATATTACAGTATTGCAATTCGACTCGTATCAAACTTCATACGAACAACTAACATACCCTAGTGGCTACTGTGAATGCTCGGGTAGCTGGAGATCACTTTGGAGACGCCGATCGAGTGGCCGATGCCGGACGAGATGGAGGACAGACCGTAGCCGTGCCCACTGCCGTAGCTAACGCCGTAGCTGCCGCCGTAGCCGCTGCCTAGCGAAATTCCCGACCCAAGGCCGGACGAAATACCAATGCCGGAACCTAATCCGATACCGGAACCTAATCCGATGCCGGAACCTAAGCCAATGCCGGAGCCGTAGCTAACTCCAATGCCGGAGCCTATTCCTGAACCGATACCGATGCCCGATCCGATGGCTACCCCTGAACCAATGCCGGCTGAAATTCCAGAAGATACTCCCACCGCTGGCGCTACCGCCACGGATGGTGCTGCAGCGACGGCGGCCACTGGTACTCGGCGTTCAACTACAACGGGTTGAGGGACCGGCACGGGTCTGTCGACTACCACGGGTTGAGGCACTGGGACGGGCCTATCGACTTGCACGGGGACGGGTACTCTGATGGGGCGGTCCACATACACGGGGTGTGGCACTGGAACCTGACGGTCTACATACACCGGCCTGTCGACGGCTACTTGCTTCTCAACCGTGACTGGGTACGGCACCGGCACGGAGACGGGCACTTTAACTGGATATGGCACTTTCCTCTCGTAGTAGACGGGCACTTGTCTCGTTATCTCCACGGGTACTTTATGTATGACAGGCACCGGTCGGTCAACTGGCACAGGCACTGGCACCTGAACTGGCACTGGCACCTGACGATCGACGGGCACAGGGACCGGAACTTGTACGGGCACTTGAACGTTGTGTGTTACAGTCCTGGTGATATATCTCGGGACTTCTTGGCGCAGGATAACTGGGTTGGGTTGAACGGAGACCGATGTTTGAACGGCTGCGGGAGCAACAGCTACCGCGGGTCTGGCTGCAACAGCTACGGCTGGGCCGGCGGCAATTCCACCGCCGATGGCTATTCCTGGTCCGGCCGCTATCGCTGGTCCGGCAGCGATACCGACTCCGCCTCCGGAAACGGCTATGCCAGATCCGATACCAGAACCGATGCCTATTCCTGAACCGATTCCAGATCCGATGCCGATTCCTGAACCGATACCAATTCCTGAGCTGATGCCAATGCCGGAACCGATACCGATACCAGATCCGAGACCAATTCCACCGTGACCGATCGCAATTCCTCCATGACCGATTCCAATTCCTCCGTGACCGATTGAAATTCCTCCATCGAGGCCGTAGTGACCGGTGGAGATGATGCCTCTCTTAACTCCCTTTACTGACGATCCGTCTTTAATTCCATTTTCTAGAAGTTCTGAAACTTTTGTTTTGTCTTCTTTTGCCAAACTACTGCATACCAGCAGTAACTGAAAAGAAGAGGAGTTCGGTTAGAAATTTTTATTGACTTAACGTCATCTCAGAGAGAGATCAGAATTGGAATTTGGTGAAAGCACCTAATTTCTGGTGCCTGTAATTTTGGTGTAAATATTTGCAGAGCTTGTAGAGAATTGGAATGATAAGCCTACTTTTAGTTTTCTTATTATTATTCTAGAGAACAATTGACATCGTGAGAAACAAACAATAATACAATCTATTGGATAAGTCTCACGCTGTACAGAAAAAGATTCGAATGCGCAGAAACGATACGTAATCGAGACCAAGGCTGGTGACTTTACAAAACCAAAGCAAACTTATATTTCTTGTTGTTTTACATTTTCAACTGTAACATATTATGCTGCATTAGATTTTAATCTTACTAATAATATAAATCCCAATGTTTAGATGGATGGATGTTTGTTTGAAGGTATCTCCGAAACGGCTCAAAGAATCTTGATGAAATTTGGCACAAATGTAGAACATAGTTGGGACGAACACATAGGCTACTCATTTTTTTTAAGTTTCGCACCGACAGGGTCGCGGACAACAGCTAGTCTTTTATGGATGGATGGATAGATGTTTGTTTGAAGGTATCTCCGAAACGGCTCAACGGATCTTAAAGAAATCTGATCTTGAAAAAATATAACCATAGTCTGGAAGAACAGATAGGTTACTCATTAAGTGTTTTTTTTTAATTCTGCGCGGACGACAGCTAGTCTTAATAATAATAGGTACCAATACAAAATCTTGGACTATTTACAACCAAAACAATTTTGTAAAAGATTAAAACATAAATTTTATTGTAACTTATGCTTTTTTTAGCTAAAAGTTATTTACTTATAGCAATGCAGGTAAACATTGAATGCAAAGCATACTAAAGTAATAAAGGGTCAAGGTTCGGATTACGTAACCAATAGATCAAACGATAAGGTATGAGCAACTTTTTTTAGCCTAGACAAGGGCAGTTAGCAATTTATAAATTTATAACCATTTATATGACGGACTTCATTTTATTATATCACGAACTTTATGAACTAAATACTAAATTATTACATATTTTCAAACGATTAAAAATAATGCAAAATACCGCATGATTTTTTTTTTAATAATTTTTTTTTTTCTTATTACTTCATACGTCGAGCAATTTTCTTTTATTAAGCTAGTATATATGACCACAGGATATCCTTTCCTAATTCAGACATGTTTGGTTGGCAACGAATAGAATTCATGTCGTACGCTACTAATAAGACAGGTCCAAAGTTAGATCCTTGCGAAACGCCGATCGTGATTACGACCAAGTATGGAAAGTTGCAAATGACACATGTTCCGAATGAAATTACAGCTAACAAATTAATTATTAATCTATCAATGAATATTACCCGTAATTAATGTATTGTAAGTGTGAAGTTCAATTAGGTACAAATTTTTCAGATCATTTGGCATTATCTATACCTACATATAAATCAATTGCTGTACGTTAGTATCGCTAAAAATCGCAAACGACTGAACGGATTTACCTTATCTTGGTCTTAAAATGTTAGTGAAGGTCTAGGGAAGATTTAAAAGGTGCGTAAAATTCGAATGCCGGGAACTAATTAAGTTTTCTTCCATTTCACGCGAATGGAGTCGCGGGCGACAGCTAGTGTTGTGTATAGAATTTATTATTTTGATTGCTCTGTTAATTAACGGTATCAGTGGCTTGAAACCTTAAGACCTTAATTTAGTCGATTACTTGGTCGGATATTATCACAAGGTAATAAATTATTTTAACTTTAACCTAAAAGTACTTTTTTTATTTTTAGTTAATAATTTTCTATAGAAAACCGAAGCTTTTGAGCAACATACAATTAAACAAAGATATATTAATCAAACCCAATCTATGCTACAATTAGACTTAAGTTGTAACATATCCAGAGCACTAACAGTGTATATGTTAGTTAATAATCGTAATGCTTTGCTTTACATTTTGCCGTACTGTCGACTCAAACTAGTTAACTTGTATTGGGTAACACCGACACACCCAAGCCCTAGAAATAGAGCAAACATTTTCAAATGTTTACTAAAATCGACTTCAACGCAGAAAAAAAGCCTAGCTTATAACATGCCCGTGTTCAACTACCTTCCTTTCAAAGTCCTATTATAATCGATCTATCCCTTCCGGAGATTACACGAAACAAACGCGGTCTTGCGGACAGGACAGACAGACAGACAATCTTATATATAGAAGAAAATCGTGTTAGTTACACTATTTATAACTCAAGAACGGCTTTACCGATACGGTTGAAAATTGGTGAGGAGGTAGCTTAGAGTCAGAAGACGAACATAGGATACTATTTATTCTTTTTTTTATGCCGTGGAGAGCTACATTTTATTTAACTTTTCTATATATTAAGTTTTTTTTTATATATCCACGCGGACGGTGTCGCGGGCGACTGATAGTAATTTTATAAATGCTGTTTTTCGTTATTAGCAACTCAGATACATTATGTATATGAAATATGTTTATATTTATATTACATACATACACTCCAATTTTATTAATATGGATAGGATTAATATTTATAATTCACGTATCACGTAAAAATATCCTTACCATCAAAACTGGGATGGCGGCCATTTTGGAAAAACGTTAAAAAAAACTATTCCCGAATTATCACAGCCCAAATCACATTACTTTTTAAAAAAATATATATTTTTTGACGTTTTGATTTTATCGCCCGAACGAATCGATATGTTGAGTCAATCTGCCTGCAATATCCAAGAGAGCGGGCTTATATAGATATATGGAGTTTAATTGCACACATACTGAATTGCGATCCTACAACTTACTTAAGGCCCGTATACATTAGTTTGTACTTATTACATCTCAATTAATTTACATCTTAAAATAACCTAAGTTACATCGACAATACCAACGAGTCATATAAATTGATCCATTACTGTTTTACGAATACACGAGTAACCGTGGGTTTTTGAGACCAAATTTCTCAATTAAAATATTTTCTTATTTCTGTTTTGTCAATGATATTGACGATATATTTATACAGAAATTTTTGTCTCAGAAAGCTACAGTTAATTACAAACAACGGGAATGAATTTTTAAAGACTAGTACTTTATTTTGTTTACTTTTAGTGCATTTAGTTTTGAATACGGTTTTCTATTTTATGTCCAGAAAATAGATAAGAATGGTTATTACTGATAATTTCAAATCCTAAGTCCTAAAAGGAATATTATATATAAATTAACTTAACTAGATTGCGCCAGTTAATAACTGATCTGCTTAATAGAGAGCCTAGCACGTATACTGGTGAGTACATTTTGGTAACATCATTGAGAAAATTTCCTACCGGTAAAGTACATCAACAAATCTCATTAAAATTTTGTCGATAAAATAACGAAGGCGTGTATCGCAAATATTCGTGTTAGGCCCTCTGAGTTGAGTAACAATGATTTAATTTGCAATGGACTAGAAGTGACCTGCTTACTCCCGGAAATGTTGGACAGATTCGCACACCCTGCTTACTAGAACGGCCCTACCATATGAAAATAACTCGACACACTGTCACTGTTTTTTTCACGCTGCGTGGGATGAAAATATGTTATCACATAAGTTTTACGGTAGTCGGAACCCACAGTTAAGATTAAGTCATCATCAGCTCTCTATACGTCCCCTCTGAGCAGCTCGGAGTCTACCCTAAGTTAAGTGTGACTAGTCCCTAGCTAACCACGCTGGGCCAATGCGGGTTGGTTGAATTCACATATATCTTTGAATTCCTTCTTAGATATGTGCAGTTTGCATCACGATGTTTTCCTTCACCATAAGAATGTCGGATAAATGTACAGATGTACATCGAACAAGACGTTGATATATGGCAGGATTCATACCCAGGTCCTGCAGAATACAAGTCAATTGCTTAAACCACTGAGCCACCGACGCTCGACGCGATAAGATTAAGTAATGTAACATAGTAACTCTCTACCGTAATACGATATACCTTAGCGGTGCTTACGTATTGTTGAACCACTACTTCAATATCATCTTGTGACAAAATTGACTTTTAAAAACCCATAAGGGAGCGTCCATTAATTACGTAAGGTGTATAAGGGGGGAGGGGGTCTAGTCAAATCTCATCTAATCTTACGTTGGAGATGGGTCTCGGCAAATATTACGCCATTTTTTTTTTTCAGATTGAAACAAAGAAGCAAAAGCACGAAGCATTTTTTTTCTTTTTACCATAATCCAACGCGTTTACGTAAGGAACTCACATTTTGAAAAAGCTCACGTGAGATTGGGTGTTGGGGGGTTTGAATAAAATCTCACGACATCTCACCATTGCAGAAAATTTCAAAAAACACATCACGTAATTTACGGACGCCCCCTAAGTTGAAAAACCATATTTTTGAATAGAATAGAATAAACGTTCATTGCAACAAAAAAGGATAAAGTAAGTTATGAATGAATATGAATACAAAAAAAATAAGAACGTGGCAAAAGGTGTCCAGCTCTGATACAGATAGGGACGACATCGGCCATCCTTGCGCCGGTTTTCAGCAGGCCCCTTTGCTCTCACATCATATGCTAAATGCATGGTGTTAACTCAGTTTAAAAACAAAAAAAAGGTAAAATAATACTATTGTTTTTATTGTCCTAATTAAATTTTGAGCGTATTTTTCACTTAATTCAGATTTTATTATAAAAACACATGATCAACAACCAACCATAAAGAGTATTGGAAAGCCTTTACGTTTGGGCATAAACGTTAAAGTTCACTTATGTCTATATTTTTTTGCATAACAAATTCTTATGAGTACAAAAAGTTGTAACCATGTTTTTTAACCGACTAAGTATCGAATTCATAAATACCAACACCCTTAAAAGCTTACATTTTAGTTTTTTAGAATTGCTTACATTTGCAATAGATTACTTAATTCTAAACTAAGTTAGGTAAAACTTCACTTGAAATGTTGACCGGGACTAACATCCGCAGCTTTGCGACATCGTATACTAAGCAGGTAACTTAAAAGCTTTAGTTGTAAAGCTCACTGCTAAGTTATTTCCGTGTAACTTAACTGTATTGTAATTTAAAGTACGTTTATCTTATCTTACTAATATTATAAATGCGAATTTTTAGATGGATGAATGTTTGTTTAAAGGTATCTCCGTAACGTCTCAACTGATCTCGATGAAATTTGGCACACATGTAGAACATAATCCGGAAGAAACCATTATTATTATTTTTTTTTTAATTCCGCGCGTTCGGAATCGCACACAAGAACCACAAACATTCCAAAATTTGTATGTCATGACCAGTATGCCAATAATTTTCTTTCAAACTTTTTATGTCACAAAATTTGTCCTAGAACAAGATCGTATTCTTGAAATTGTATGCTCAATTTTATCACAATAATTGCATGCGTTCCTAGAAATTTTGAAACTGAAGTAGACTTTGCGAAAATGATACAAAATAAAATTATTCAGAAAAATAAGGCCTACGTTCAGCAGTGGACGAATTGGGCCTGAATATGATGATGATGATGATGAGAAGAACACATTTGTTTTTCTCATCATCAATCAAGGCCATTGCCTTAATATAAAACTACTGTATCTTAACGCAAATTATGTTAAATCCAATTAGTGTAGAGTTTAAAATTTGAATAACGATGTAGTTGCCCTCAAAAATTCATCTCATTAAGGAGTGACTGTTAATTCTTTAGGACATCAAGCATTTCTTCGATGTTCGACCAATTTAGATTTACATACGAATTTAGTTTTGTTTTTAACCTGGTGTACTATTTGCTTACTAACTTTCGGCATCTGAAAAATTTTTTATTCGCATCATTCCATACGCATATGCTTTTTGGAAACAGTTTTGATGTCGCTAACTATAAAGCTAAACCAAAAATCCTAACCATGGTTTTCCTAAAACGCTCTTATGAAAACATATTGCCATCCCATTCATTCTGTTTAGAGAAAAAGAGATAACTAATCATTTTAGTACTGGTTTTTCAGTAATGCAATCTCTTCCTAACAATTAACGTAATATTACTTTTAGATTCTTGATTTTAATTAATTTAAATGACGTCCTAAATTATTAATTTGAATTCATTCATTATACATTTATAGTAACTTTAGCTGTCCGCGACTCCGTCCGCGTGGAATTAAAAAAAAACTTAAATAGTATGTCTATGTGTTCTTCCAGGCTATGTTCTATATGTATACAAATTTCATCGAGATCCGTTCAGCCGTTTTGGAGAAACCTTCAAACAAACATCCATACATCCAAACATTCGCATTTATAATATTATATATATCATCAGCTCACTATACGTCCCCACCGAGGGGCTCAAAGACTACCCTAAGTTAGGGATGACTAGACCATAGTCAACCACGCTGGCCACGTACAAGTTGACTTCACACATATCTTTGAATTTCTTCTCAGATATGTGCAGATTGCATTTTCCTTCACCATAAGAACGTCGGATAAATGTACATATGTAAATCGAAAAACACATTGGTATATGGCGGGATTCGAACCCAGGTTTTGCAGATTACAAGTCAATTGCCTAAACCCCTGAGTCACCGATGCTCTCTCTGCTCTCTGATTTATAATATTAGTAAGATAAGAAAAAATGCTCTATATATTTATTTAATTAACTTTATTAGTTAGATTTTATTTCTTCATCAAAAGATAAGTTAATTCCGTTCCTCCTAAAAAGGGATGATTGGTGAAGTCTTGCAATAATTTACTTGCTATACAAGGTATAAGATATTAAATAAGATCGGTTTCGTTAACACTAACGAAGGTTTCTATAAGGGCATAAAGGTGAACATAGTTTTTTTTTTATTAACTAAGCAATCAGGTCATTGACCGAAATGTCGAGATGCAATAATGAATACATTATCTGACGTTCTTGAATGCAAAACATCATGCAACCTGCACATATCTGAGAAGAAATTCAATGATATGTGTGAAGTCAACCAACCCGCACTTGACCAGCGTGGTTGACTATGGTCTAATCACCCTTAACTTAGGGTAGGCTCCAAGACCCTCGGTGGGGACATATAGTGAGCTAATGATAATGACAAGATACATGTGATTTAAAATACTTTCAACTGGTAATATTTTACGCTTATTAATCTTTAGTTATTTGATTCGAATCAGTTGAAACTAAACGATATTTAATTTAATTTCATAGAAATTTTATCTTCCATAGATAGAGTTCTATTTATGTAATAAAATGAATTTAAAGGTAACACGATTATTGCACGAAACTTTACAAATTTTCGTTTAGTAAAAAATCCAACGAACCTATCTCTATTTTATCTTACTAATATAAATGCGAATGTTTAGATGGATGTCTTTTTGAAGTTATCTACTTAACATCTTAACGGATTACGATAAAATTTGGCATACATATAGAACATTTTATTTATTTATTTAAAACTGCATAGCATCCTTACAGTGTACAACCAATTTGACAATATACACACTTTACATAACAGTTTACACGATAACATATTTTATTATAACAGTAAATAACACATAACAATGATATATAAAAAGAAAAAAAGATACAAAGATAAACAGTGCCAGAATATATCAACGCGTAACTCT